TTGGCGAGTTGCCTCGCGTGCGCGTTCGTCTGCTATCCGCATACGCTCCTCGTCCTCCGCAACTCGCTGGGCCTTCTGTTCATCCTTAGATGTCGATTCTGGTTGTTGGGGCTGGCTGGAAACGCCGGGCGAGTTTCCTCGCATACCAGGAAGATTAAAGAGCGCGTCTTTTTCTTCCTGGGTCATGGGCACCAGTCCTCCCCTTGGAACCGGAGGAGGCTGATCCTCTTCATCTTTCGGTTCCAAGTGGCCCATGATCCCGAGACGACGATTGACCTCTGCGATCTCGTCCTGTGTCATCGGGATCAGTGGCGGGTGGACGCCCTCCTTATGAGGGGTTTTGCCCCTGTTTGGGCTCAGACCTTCATTGTTTCCTACAAGGCATCCCGGCCTGTGGTTCTGGAACGGCTGGGAACATGGCCCACGCGCTGCTTGAGGCCTATACAACTTGCGAGCCGCGATAACGCTATGCAACTGTGTTCGCACTTCTTCAGTTTCAGGACGGCGGATCTTTGTTGCCATTTGATAGCCTCCGCGGATGGCCTTACCCTGAGCGTCCCTATAGGCAGGGTTGCCCTTGCCGAAGGCCGAATGTTCCCCTTTACGGCGTCTTGGATCATTGTACGGCAGTAGTTCGCCTCCTCGCCTGAGAGCGTGTTCCTTCGGGCCAGCTTGCCTCCACTCATGGGGGAGCCGAGCCTGAGGATGTGGCTCTCCTCTGACGCGCGGATGGGAACGAGACCTTCCAGCATTCTCATCAGAAGAGGCTGCCGAAGCAGCCTGAGTAGAAGCCGACGGAGGCGCCGGCGGAGGCTCCTGTGCGATCCCAGGTGGATCGTCTGGTGAAGGCAGGTTTCCCTGCTGGCTGGAGCTCGGCGCAAACGGCGCTTGTGCCGATGGCGATGGTGCTTCGGGCTCGTCAGGATCAAAATCAACCTCTACCTCACCGTTAACTTCCGTCATGAGGATTGTGACTTCATCCTCGTCTAGCCCGCAACCATCGCCTTCTTCTTCTTCTGATGTAGAACTACCAATGATGATGGCCATTGGCGCAGCCGGGACAGGCAGGTTTCCCTGCATAGCCGGCATCTGTGCGTCGCTCGGCTGTCCCGGGGAAGGCGGCACGGTTGTCGGTTCAGGCTCGTTGCCGAGCACAGGCTGCCCAGCAATGTTGCGCATGGCCGTGTTATTTGGCCATCGTCCCACCGCCTGGAGACCCCATCCTGGCGGAGGAAGAGCCTGACCGCGCATGGCGATGGCCCTTTCAAGGGCATCACGCCATCTCCCTCGGGGGTACATCACATGCCTCTGCACGTCCTCAGGGCGCACGCTGTCGATGAGGGTCAAGGGTGCCAACACTAACTCCGAGTCATCGCAGGCGTCGGTGTCCTGCAGCATCATGATGCCAGCTTCGACGCTTTCATGACTCTCGGGATATGCGATGGTCAATACCTCGTGCATCCTCATGAGGGTTTGCAGTAGTGTGCGTGGTCCGTACTCGCCTGGAGCAAGCGAACCAGGGGGTGCAAATGGGATCTCTGGTTCACCTGCAATGAAAGCTTGAACGAACGCTTGAGACTCCATTTCTATAAGTTCATCATTATTTCGGGGATAGGTAGGCCTGTTTCCAAGCGGGAGTTCAGGTGGGGGTTGGAGGTTGCGTTCGACCTCGGAAGGCGAGGCCTCAACAGTGATGTCCTCGTCACTGCTTTCGTAGGCCATGATGTTGCCTGGGTCCTCGAACATCCAGTCGGAGAAAGACAAAGGCTGGTTTCCCAGCGTACCGTGATCCACGAGAGTGAGCTCGTTGTTACCAACAACGAACCTGCGGACGTACTCGAGGTAATACGCGTACAATCCATGACCATACGCCTCGAGCTCGTCGACGTTGTCCATGCAACTGACCCAAGTGTAAAATATCTGTTCCATGGCCTCAAAATCCTGGAGGCTCAGATATTCGATGAATGGTTCACTTGAGCCAACATGGACTTCGGTCGATCTGCCCTTACCATTTCCCTTCGCTGGACAGTCTCTCACAAGATGGTCGGCACTATCACACTCATGGCACTTTAGAACCTGGCCGTCTCTACCTCGCGGGTTTCCCCGCCTACATTTGCCTTTTCCTGAGGTCTCTCTACGGCCTTTGCCACGGCCCTTTCCCCCGAAGAATATCGCATCCTACTGTTCATCTGAGAGCCTCTGGAAGATGGCCGCGATGCCTCGTCCGTTCAACCTCCGACGACTCCGCTTGCCTTTACGTTTTCCTTTGAAACTCCAACGTATCCTCCTCCTAACACGTCGCGCTGGTTTTCGTGTGAAACTCCTCCACCTCCGTTTAGCCTGTTGTAATAACCAAAATAGGTGTTCAGCACGTTGATTGTCAGTTTCCATATTCATAATATCTGACCAATCTAAAGCTTCAACACCGTCGGATGATGCAGTATCAGTGTCGGTGCCGGAGTCGAAATCATCGTCTCCCAAGTAGGTGGACACACCGTCGGCAAGGGGGTTTGATTCACCCCACAAAGAACGGTGTGGTTGAGGTTCTCTGGAAGGAGGGCTGGTTGCCCAGCTTGGTTGTGGTCGATCCCCTGTTAATAAAGCAGTAGATTCTCCGGGATCATCGGCCCATATGCTTGAGGGCCCGTTTCCAGGCTGGGCTTCAGTGGTTAGAATAGTGTAGAAATTTCCACTACCAGATCATCTCCCCCTTCCAAACACAGATCCTATATTACCAGGAGACCGTTCTGATAGGTGTCCTATCGAACGCATCCTCTCCAGCAACTCATCATGCTGTTGTTGAGTTCGGGGCATGTGATGATTGAGTGGCTGTAGGAGTTGCATGGCTCGCTGGTTGCCGACGCCTAAGGCGCGGAACAGGATCGTGGTTAGTAACTGGAAGTTGGGAAGGTCGAGTCCCACCGACTGTGCCTCAAGTCGGGCCATTTCGAATCGGGTTAGAGTGACATCGATTCGTTCTCCGTGAGGCACGTGGAAGTCGATGAGCTGTGTGCCAGAAGTGAGCTGGCGCTCATCTTCCAGGCGCTCGAACTTCATGCTTAGGAGGAACATGATGTAGGTCACTGGGCCTGTGTGGACCCCATCGATGTCAGCACCATAGTTTATAATGTCAGGTGGTACCCTCATGGCGAGTGTCCCCGATAGGCCACCTAGGCCGCGTTGTATGGCGGCCGCTTGGGCCTGTGGCGTCATACGTCCGCTAGTGACGTTAAGCCACGCGTTGACCTCATAAACGTACTCGCGGAAAGGTACGTTGCCTTGAGGGTCCCAGTATGGGCCATGTGTTTGCCCATCGGTGCTGTTTTCTCCGCGGCGCATGTGTCCGATTGCTGCCCCCAGCGCGAACCATATGATAGCGAAGATAACCAGCCCAAGGCTATGTAGGTAGGGGTGGTTATTAGGCGCGTTGCCGCGCTGGGGTAGCGCCTTGTCGAGTCGTCGAGGCGCTCTATCTGGCGGATCTCTCCGCCCATGCTTCAAGTATTGCGCTTTTGGTTCGTTGCCGAGCGGTTGGTAGTAGCGCAATGATGAAGTGCATATGGTACCAATGTTGTTGTCTAGACGTCGTACCTCTCGTGTTGCTTCTTGCTCTTGGATAGATCCTCGTAAACGTACTGGGAGTGATAGCGCAGGGTGGTAGGTGGTCACGAGGATCGCGCCGAAGAGTATGAGGATGAGAAGAGCAAGAGCTGACCACACGAGAGTGCGGCCAGCTCCGCTACCAAATCGAAAGTGAACCTGGTAACTCAAATAGCATCCGATTCCATGGGAAGCGGATGGCAAATAGCGTCCGGTATCGTACTGAGGCTGTTCAGTAAGAGGAATGGACGGATAAGATAGGATAAGATCGATGTAGTGATCTTTCCAGCACATAGCGAACACAAGCAGTGTCCGGGCACATCGGGCGCGCGTGCCTTGAGCCAAAGGCAACGGCGCGCGAGCTATACTCCCGATACTATAACATTTCCCAAAGACCTACCCTTAAAGTCCCTGGACCTGGACGAGGGGGGCCACGGGTAGTCGGAGCGTCCAAAACGGTCTCGGCGAGGAAGCCAAAATTATTGATGTTACTCGGGTTTGGGCCCCATTTTGGCCTCCTGGGGGGGGGACCGAAATTGAGGGACCCCCCTTCGTTGACTGATCTCCTCCAAGATGGCCCCAAGAGGCGCCCAGGAGGCCCCAAGAGGTCCCAAGATGGCCCCAAGATGGCCCCAAGAGGCCCCCAAGAGGCCCCCAGGAGGCCCCCAAGAAGACCCCAAGCGGCCCCAAGAGGCCCCCCCCGAGGCACCCAAGACCCCGAAGATCCCCCCCAGGATCGCCGAGAGACCCCCAAGACGTCGCAAGAGGCCACCAAGAATCGCCCAAGAGATACCCCAAGAGGCTCCGAGAGGCATCCAAGAGACTTCTGGCCCTTGTGTTTGCCCTCCTCCTCCTCCTCCTCCTCCTCCTCCTCCTCGTCCTCCTCCTCCTCCTCCTCCTCGTCCTCCTGTTCCTCCTTCCTGCTCCTACTCCTTCTCTTCCTCCTATTCCTCCTCCTCCTCCGCCTCCTCCTCATCCTGTTCATTATCCTTCTTCCCACTCCCTCATCCATCCATCCATCCACCTCCTCCTTCTCCTCCTCACTCCTGTGTACGGTTCGGCCGTCCTCCTCTTTGCTGCCACTTCCCTGATCACCTCAACTCGCCTAAATATCGTTTCTGCATGGGCTGGTGGGGATATGCGAAGCGTCTAGAATTAGGTGTATAGGCGGCGCCCTCCGACTATCCCCGCTGGCGTGGCCCTGGCCCCACTGGCCGATTTGCCCCCCCCCCCAGATGGGGATAGATGATGTTCTTTTCGGGTTTCGGAGGGTGTCGCCGAACAGAGATATTTTGTTCCCTTCGGGTTTCGCAGGGCATGTCCCCACCTGGGGGGGGGGCATGATGGGGCTGAGGTGCCACAGCCCGTTCGGGATGAGGATCGGTGAAACGACACTGAGCCTCGTGCTCCCTGGCGCGCGCAAGCAGCTCCTCCAGCCCCTGCTTCTCCTGGCGGCACTCCGCGAGGGCCTCGGCCAGCTGATGCGAGGGCAGCAGCATCCACTCCTCGACGCAGCCCTGGAGGCAGCCCGGCTCCCCGCCAGAGGACTCGCCCACGACGATCTCGCCGAGCATGTCGCTCACCGGGCTCAAGCTCCTCACCGCGCCCCTGGGCCCTGCCGCCTCGGGCGCGCCCGCCGCCAAACGGGCCCACCCCGCGGGCCGCCCCGGGGCCTCCCGCGCGCGGGCTGTGCGCGTGCTGCCCTGGGCGGGCACAGCGGCCAGCACTGCAGCGACCGACTGCGGGGAGCGCCGCAGGTCCAGCGCGGGCGCCGCGGGCGCCGCGGGCGCCACCTGCGCCGCCTGGCCTGGAGAAGCGCCGGTCAGCTTCGCTGCCGGGGAGCCCGGGGCGCGCGCCAGCGGTGGGCGTTCTGCTCTTGCTTCGGGACCCTCCCGGAAAAGGATCTGCCTCCGCACGAACAGCCCGTGGTTTCGCTGGCACTGAAAGTAGACGACCCCGTCGACAGAGCCGTCGTTGTGACCGTCGGGGGTGTCGAGCTCCACGCCCATCCATTCCCCCGCGGCGAACTTGGTCTCTCCAGCGAACCTTGGCATGAGGGAAGCGAATCCTAAAGGACAAGCAGGGTCCTGGACCCTGGGGCTTTCACTGGAACCGGTTCTTCCTCCGATGCGTGGCCAAGGAGGCACACACACACACATTCTGAGACCCGAAGACGCGAAACAAAATGCAACAAAGCAACATCGCGGAAATCCGAGGCAGGAGCCACGACCCCAACCTCCTCAGAGACGCACTGACCCGGGTCAATCCAGACCCTGGTCAGTCAGGGCTTGCAGGATCCTGCAAGGTCCAGAAGGCTCCTGTGGGATCCTGGATCCACACCCAGGTCAGTGCGCCCCTGGCCCTGCAGGATCCTGCAAGATCCTGCGCTCTGACGGACCCCCGTTTACATCCTCCTCGTCCTCCTCCTCCTCCTCCTCCTCCTCCTCCTCCTCCTCCTCCTCCTGCTCCTGCTCCTCTTCCTCCCCCTCTTCGGCTGCGATGACCCCCGTCTCCCTTTCGAGCCCCGCCCTCCTCCAGCAGTGCCCGAGCCGGGCCGAGCCGTGAGGGCCCCCTGGGGGGCCCGGAGCGTGCAAAAAAACACACAGGGGGTGGGCTGCTAAATGCCACGCCCGGGCCTCCAATAGAAGAAGAAGAAGAAGAAGAAAAAGAAGAAGGAGGAAACAAAACAAACGCCTTAAAACGGAAACTTTTGGCGCTCCGAGCGGAGCGCCAAACGTGTATGTTTATGGCGTGGTTTCTTCTTCAATCCAGGCGCACCCGTCCTGGGACCAGGGCGGGTCAGTCCAGGGGCCCCTGCGTGCGCATGCCGAGACATCTTCAGAGGCCTCCTAGGTCGAGGGATGAACATGACCTGGCTACCAGGCCACCCCAACCCAACCCGAAGACCCGAATTTCGGGCTCGGGGGGGGCGGGTTCCACATGTGTTGTTTCAATGTTCCCCGACCCCCCCCCACTGGAAATGGACGGCGCATTGAGGCCTTCGGGTTGGGTCGGGGTGGTTTGGTGGGTGGTGAGCATGTGCACACCAGAGCATCTGCAGAGGCCTCCTGGGTAGAGGGATGAAACAACGCCCCTGCCATGGGTTACAAGGGCGTGGTCTGTAAACCTCCTGAGAGCTCCCGAGGGCCAGAGAGCCGCCAAGACGCCGCGCAAAACGCGCGACAGGCAGACTTTACCCCGACAGCCCACAGGAGGTTCAGCACACAGCCCGTCGTGAACCAGAGTAGGAGCTTTATTTACGCCCTTGACTGGATGGGGTCCGAGTAGATAGGGTCGGAGGATCGCGCCGCATCGACAATGCATCGGCGATCCATCGGCGAGGCATCAGCGACGTCGGCGTGGAGAGCATCGGGCTCCACATCGAGCCGCATCGCCGACGCATCGGCGATGCGGCGCGATCCTCCGACCCCATCTACTCGGACCCCACCTGGGAACGTACGAGCAACCACACTACATAAGCGCGTGGGCAGAGACAACTGCGCGCGAACTGGCGCGGCGGGACATACGCAGCGAGAGTTCGTGGAGGGTGGAACAGTTGCTACTCAGCCTGGCGTTATTTACAACAACTGTATGCCGTCGGATCGGGGGGGAGGGAGGGTAAGGGAAGAGAGAGGAGGGGAGAGAAGTGAAGAGGAGGGGAGAGGTGGATTCGGATGTAGGGAAAAGGGTGTGGCATAAAGCGGTGTGGTGCCAATCGTAGAAATGGCGATGTCATCTACGGTAGATAGCATCGCCTGGTTCAGCATTGGCACCACACCTCTTTACACCAGACCCCTTTCCTACCTCCAGAGTGGAGGGGGGGGAAGAGGGGAAGGGAGGGGAGAGGATGGGAGAGAACGGGAGACGAGGGGAGAGGAGGGGATAAAGGAACAAGTCCAGGCGGCCAGCCTGTCGCAATCTTGGCCTGTGAAGAGGCTTGGCGTGGGCCCACGGGGCGTCAAAACCTAATTTCAAAAAAGTGGCATGACCAAAGTCGCCCCCCGGGGAGGGGGTGGGGCTGGCAACGACAGGAGACGATACAGCCATCGTACTACCATAAGGAGAGCAGAAAAAGGAACCACGGGTTATGGTGCTCCCATCGTACTGAGGGCACACATCCCAGAAATAATTTCGAGCACCAGGACAAATGTCGAAAGAGTGTCGAAACGGTATCGAAACGGTGTCGGACGAGTGTCTGCCCGACACGTGAAAACCCTCGAATTTCGGTCCGGTCTTGGTGCTCGGAATTCTTTCTGGTGGTCAAGGCTAAAAGAAGTTGGAACATCGTAAAGGAGGAGGAGGAGGAGGAGGAGGAGGAGGAGGAGGAGGAGGAGGAGGGGGAGGGGGAGGCGGAGGCGGAGGCGGAGGTGGAGAAGGAGGAGGAGGAGGAGGAGGAGAAGGAGGAGGAGGGAGGAGGGAGATGGAGGAGGACGTGTCGCTTGGAGCAGGTTGGAACCTCAGAAACCACGGGGCCTTTCTGGCCACGGCGGGCCTTGGCCACGAACAGGTGCCACGACGCGAATCTAAGGTACGGCCCGAAGCCCCCGAGGCCTAGCCTGAGCCCAGAGCGGTCCTTCTTTCGGCGTCTTGACTGCAGGGGGGGAATGAGAAGGAGAGCGACTTCTCTAGAGGAAGGAGAAATGAGGGAGCGAGGCGGGGGGAAATGAGCAGCGAGGGTGAGAGCGAGGGAAGGGGGGAATGAGGAGACCGACTTCTCTAGAGGGCAGAACATCAACCCCGATCATAACCACGCCGACACGCGAAGTCGTTTAGCAAACGCGCCCAAAGGAAGAATCGAACAGGGCAGGGCTGTGTAATCATCAACGCCCAGGACCGTTTAGTAAACGCCAATTGTCCGGTCCGGGTGGCTGTTCCTCCCTTGAACTGTAGAGGGGGACGATGGGCAGCGAGGGAGAGGGAGAAATGAGAAGAAGAACGCCTTCTCCGAAGACGGCAAGATTTCTCAGAAGCCCTGGCGTCCTCTGAGAAGTGTTCTTCGTCTTCGAGGAAGGCTTAGAGAACTTCTCAGAAGGCTGGAGGCCTCCCGAGCTTTATGCGAAGGCCCATCCCTTCTCAGTTCCCCACTGGGCGCGCAACTGAGATGGGCACAGGGGGGATGCAGCGACCTTGCGTAGCCGATACATCGCCCATGCATCGTCGATGCAGACCGCCTATGTATGCTCTACACATCGTCGGTGCACCGCCCTGATCTCGACGATGCATCGTCGATGTAACGACCATTCGAGGTCCATGTATCCCACATATGCCTATCCCATCCCCCCGATCGTTGACCATAGGGCGAGGTCGAACTAGGGGCCCATGCACCGAAAAAGTCGAGGCGCCAGATGTCTGGGCAACGCTGGCCCAAGCCCTCCGACGTCGTCTACAGTGGAGACCCATGCCAAGAAACACGCTGCCTGCCTCCAGCGTGCCCTGGGTGTCTTGGATTTCGATGGCTTTGCAATGGAGAACGTGACGCTCCAAAACCAACAACCAGTGGACGTCCTGGGGTCTCGGGGTTGGGTTCCTTGTGGAAAGCCTCTTGTGGACTGGCCTCCACTGCACCATGCACCGCGTAAGCCCAGATGTCTAAACCGAGTGCCCAGGACCTCGTTTCTCATCCCGCATCGGTCTTTGACGGCCCCAGGGCCCTGGCGAGGGCGCCCGGAAGCCCGAACCCAAAACAATGTATAACCACTTCCGCCGTGCTCAATTCGCGGCGCGAGGAGGTGGGGCACCGCCCCCGCACCAGGATGTCTGGGCACAGTCGGCCCGTATCACAAGGATGCGCGGGTAAGGCTGCACGAGCCCTGGATGCCCATGCTGACGTTTCTCGGACGACGCTGGCCAGCGACAGACTCGCCAAGAATGAGCCGAAGGGGCGAGGATGCAAGGGGGTGCCCTTGGGAAGGCTGCCCATCCCTACGATGCGGCCCGACTGTAGTTCTCGTCGCCTGGCCCCCTTTCCTGCACGGTTTCACCTGGGGCCGTAGGCGACCCGAGGAGGAGGAGGAGGAGGAGGAGGAGGAGGAGGAGGAGGAGGAGGAGGAGGACTAGGAGGAGGTGTAGGAGGGGGAGGAGGAGGAGGAGGAGGAGGAGGAGGAGGAGGAGGGAGAGGAGGAGGAGGGAGGAGGAGGAGGAGGAGGAGGAGGAGGAGGAGGAGGAGGAAGAGGAGGAGGAGGAGAGAGGCGGAGGAGGAGAAGGAGGAGGAGGATTGGAGGAGGAGGAGGAGGAGGAGGAGGAGGAGGAGGAGCAGGAGGAGGGAGGAGGAGGAGAAGAGCGCGGGGAGGGGGAGGAGATGGAGGAGGAGGAGGAGGAGGAGCAGGAGGAGGAGGAGCAGGAGAACGGAGGAGGGGGGAGGAGGAGGAGGGAGGAGGAGGAGGAGGGAGGAGAGGAGGAAGAGGACGAGGAGGAGGAGGAGGAGGAGGAGGAGGAGGAGGAGGAGGAGGAGGAGGAGGAGGAGGAGGAGGACGCGTCGCCTAAGCCCTTCGGAGAACCCCCCCACCCTTTCCCCTTCGTGGCGGGAGAGCCTCAGCACGCCTCGCACGCCGCTCCCGCCCCGCACGCCCCTGGCCGCGAGGAGAGGCAAAGAGGGCACCGACGCCGCCACCCCTCGTTGGGTGCGCTCTCGACCCGGACTCCGAAGCGAACTGATGCCAGATCAATTCGGCGGTGGACAAACCTCCCTTTAGTAAACCTCCCTTTAGTGAAAACGGCCTGGGACCGAAACCGACGGACCTGGACCCGCAAAAATGACGGCCGCGACGCCCTCGCGCCGCGAACCGAAAACGGCCAATTCCTTAATCGACGTGTCAGGGTACGAGGTCTGTCCACCCCCGATCAATAGAGGCCTCCTAGATGGGGTTCGAATAGATGGGGTCGAAGGATCGCCCCGCATCGCCAATGCATCGCCGATGTATCGGCGCTGCATCGGCGATGCATCGGCGATGCATCGGCTACGTCCGCGTGAAGCCAATCGGGCTCCACATCGAGCCGCATCGTCGATGCATCGGCGATGCGGCGCGATCCTCCGACCCCATCTACTCCGACCCCATCTGGGAGGCCTAGAAGTCAGATCAGTGAACCAAAACAAGTGATCAGGCCTGCACGCGAGAGCCAAAAACCAAAACAAGTGAAACCTGGAGCCGGCTGGGGGTCGGAGGTGGCCCAGCACTGTTCCGGCCAGCAGGAAGGGCGGGCAGGTTCGAGGCGCTGGGTTCGGGACGCTTGTTTGCCTTGTTCCGCCTCCGGGGACCGTTTACGGGCCCCGGTACGGGCCCTGGGACCACCAAAAACGAAGCCGGGATGAAACACTGCGCGAGATGGACCAGGAGAGAGGGTCTGGGGACCGATTTTCAGCGGATTCGGCCTCCCCTCCTGACCGATTTTCTGTGGTCCTCCTTACCAGTTCAGACCCCCCGGCCCCCTCGAGCCGAAGTGCGTCTTCACCGAGCGCAAGGAAAGCACTGGCGTTAGACTTCTCCACACGCCTGAGCATCGTCTGAACAACCCCTACCACCGCGAGCGTGGCCTGGGCCCCACTGGCCGACTTGATGATTACCTCCTCTGGATGGGAACATACGACGGTTCCTTCGGGTTTCGCGGGGTGTTTCCCCCTGAGATGGGGATCGGTGAAACGATACACCCTGCGAAATGCCTTAGAACTCTTGGGTTAAGAAATTCATAGTCTCAGAATTTGAATAAAAACCCAGAGTGTCGAGTCAAATCTTAGGATTCACATTGAAACATTAAGAATAATCGAGACTCTGTCCGAAAACTTGGGTTTTCTTAAGCATCGCCTGGAGTGTACGGATCGTCTGCGCTTCTGCTCCGTGGACGCCGAGGCGGGCCCAGTCGCGGCGACGAAAGCCCTCCTAAAAGAGGAGCCAGCCGCGTCGACGAGGTCCCGGGGGGGGGGGGGGGGGGCGAGGCGGATGCCACGGCGCGGCGACGAGAAGGCCCCACGTGGAGGCCCTCCAAAGCCTGAGCGGCAGGCCCCGCGAGAGGGGCCCCTCCCCAGACCTCCTCGTTGGTCGCTGAGTTCGGCCTCCAGTCCTCCTGCTCCTCCTCCTCCTCCTCCTCCTCCTCCTCCTCCTCCTCCTCCTCCTCCTCCTCCTCCTCCTCCTCCTCCTGGCCTGATGTCGGTCCCTGGGGCCAAAAAGGGATCTGGGACGCAGAGCTGCCGCCAGGGAAGGGGTGGTCGGAAACTCTGAGGCCGCGGACTGACAGAAAAACAGATCGGATGATGGCTGGGTCGGTAAGAGGGGCCATGGGACACACAAATAAATGCACACACATAGCACGATTCCCAATATGTTAACATAGTGTCTGGGTGTTCGTCTTCCCCCCCGCTTCCCATATGTTCCTACATTTTCGGAGGAATCGACGATGGATTGTGTGTGTTTTTGTTGCCTCCTGATCGGTATCGACATCCCAGACCCTCGACGTCGTCTCCGTGGAGGCCTCGGGGTCCTCCGCGGGACCAGCCTCTCATCCTGGGTTGCTGTTGCTGCGGCCCCAGGGCCCGATGCAAGTAGTAAGGGGCCGCGGGAGGCCGAAAACAAAAACAAAACCTCCGAAGGGGCCAGGGTCCGCTCGTAAAGGGGAAGGCAGGAGGAGGAGGAGGAGCTCAGGCCAGGCATGCCCCCCCTAGAGGCGGATGTTGAGCGAGGAGGGAGCAGCGCGCACGGCCCGAGGCACGTGCGAGAACGAGCAAGCGTGTAGACAGAGGAAGAGGGGGCCACAAAGGCCTGGGAGGTGTCAAAGGAGGGCAGAGAATCCACCCCGATGACTAATAACCACCCCGACACGCGAAGCCGTTTACTGCACGCCCCCACTGCAGGAGTCGAACAGGGCAGGGCCATTTGGTAAACGCCAAAGGCCGTTTAGTAAACGCCAATTGTCCAGTCCGGGTGGCTGTTCCTTGGGCGTGGATTCATGGGGGGGTCATAAATGGGGGGGTCAGAAACGGTCCCCTTTCGTGCCCCTTTCGAGCCCCTCCGGACCCCCAGGGGGCTCGTTTAGGTACCGTTTGGGTACCTTTTCGGACCACCCTCGCCACCCCCCCATTTATGACCCCTCCATTACGCAGCGCCCAAGTTCCTCCCGTGAGTCATGACCCCGGCCACGATGTCCCCACTCTTCGACGCCTGGTTACTTTCGCGTCGTAGCTCGGCCCCCCGGCGGCCTTGCCTTTCGGGGGCGACCTGGGCACCCCATGAGAGCTCCCGAGGAGCGGAAGCCGCTGGACCGCATGCCGAGGCAGGCAAGACCTCCGAGGGCCAAGGAACGCTTCCTCCGAAGACCAGCGATGACGGCCTCGCTAACCCCCCTCTGTTGGGACGCCTGCTGTGGCAACCCACGGGAGCTTCCCAGGCAATACTGCTGGCTCTTGCTGACCGACGCCAACGGAAGCTACTCGACTCTCATCGGCGCCTAATCGATGCTACATCGACGCTGGTCGACTCGGCGCTCTCTCATCGATGACCAAACGCTAGCGCACGCTGACGCAGCCGAAGAACCCGACTACGAAGACACACAAGGCTCCCATGATCCGCTACCGCAAACGCCCCCGAGGACCGCCTGCACGCCCCGCTCAACACCCGGTCGCCCACCGCCAGCGCGGCCCCCGAGCCAGAAACGGCGGGGCTCCTGGGGAAACCAAAATCTGGGTCCACCAAAGCGGGCGGGGACCCTGACGGGGGGGGGTGAGTTCGATCCGCTGGTGCATCGATTTTCCGAAAAACGATGCCCCCCGCGCGCCCCGATTGTCGACACCTTCCGGCGGCGGCCAGAGACCTCGTTTTGCATCGTTCTGCGGTTTGATGCGCCAATGGACCGAACTCCCCCCCCCCCTGTGGCCCCCCCCTTTGCGAGGTCCCGACAAAAGGTACGGATACCGCTGCTCCCCGGACCTCTCCTGGGGTGCGTTCTGACCAGGACTTCGAAGGCGAATCAAGCGGTGGCGACGAGGGCCTCGCAGGAAGCCGAACAAGGGGAGAACGGGCGAGGGGTGTAGCGGATCCCAGCGTGCGCCACGTGGGTGCCCGCGCGCGCCCGCTCGGGCGTGGCGTTCGGGGCTGCGTGGCCTCCTCGAGGAAAAAGCGCAAGTCAAGTATCAAGTATGTGAAATCTAGGCAGCTGATCTACCCTAAGGCAGGTTCGCGTCGTATCGACTTCGGCACTGGTTCCCGACACCGCGGGGATCGTTCAATCTTGAACGATCGGACGTTTCCGAAACGTCCAAATCGTTCCACATCGACAGATTCTGGGTCGCCCGCGGCGTTCAACGTTGAACGCCGCTGGCGGGGTCGCCGCTGGTCAACACGACACGAACCTACCGTACCAGAACTGACAAACATCTTTTCGTAGGGGTAGCGGATGGGTGCTCCGGATTCCATAATAAAGCGAGGGGGTCGCATTGGAGGGGGACCTGACTTGAGGAGGGCCCCAGTGGGGTCCGGGCAGAAGGCCGCCCTTTCTGGCTGGTCCTGGGGGGGGGGGGTCGAAAACTGCTCGCCCGGGAACGGCGCGACCCCCTCCCTGCTCTTACGACCTCCGGAGTACCCTTTTCCTCCTCGGAGCTCCACTGGGCCGGGGGCGCGGGCGCGGGCCAGGGCGGCGAGGGCGGCGCCCGCGGGGCCCGGGCGGCCCGCGGCGGGCCCCGGGCGGCGAGGTCGCGGTGGCCTCCGCCCGGAGGCGCCCCCGAGGAGGCGCGCATGGCCCGGCCGCGCCGGGGGGCCATGAGGCCACGAGCGACGCCAGTCTGCAAAGGGGCTCAGGGGCGCACACATAGATAGGCACGCTGCTTTTTTTATGTCTTTATCTCGAGATGATCCACGGTACCGCCCGCACTACTGCCCGTACTGCCTGTGCGCGCTGTGTGCACCCACAGTTGGCTGAGTGCCGCACTCCTCTGGCAAGCTGAGAGCTTCATCAGAGATGGGCACAACTCCCAGGATTCCCCAGATGTTCCCGAGGGTGGACCAGACCACGAGCGGCACCACCCCACCTACGGCCGCTTTAAACATTGTCGTCGCTCGAGCCTTCGTGCGCGCGCCTCCTCGGAGGCCGCATGGGCCCCCGAGGAGCCGCCTGGAGGCGCCCCCGAGGCGGCGCGCGCATGTAGTCACGAGCGACGAGAAGTTTTGCAGGGGCCCAGGGACAGACAAAGAAAGAGGCACAAAAAGCCCGGGGGCTCCCCCTGTTTGGTTCCCATAGCTTCTGGGTGTTCGTCCCCCCCTACTTCCCATGCTTCCCCACATGCTCCTGGGAGCCGACGATGACTTGTGCCTGTGTGCTTCTTCCCCTCCTGCAAGTCAGGCGATCGGCAGTTAATCCATGCCCCGGATCACGCCCCAGCCACGCGAGGGGCCAGAGCGGCGGCATGGACAGCAGTCTGGCCTCGGGAGGCCACCAGGGGTGGATGCGCAGTCGCACGGACACGCTCCGCGCGGGGCGTCCACGCACCAGGCGCCCCGGGTCCGCGCGGTCGTGGCCCAGGGCCTGGCGCACGAGGCCGCGGAGACTCTCTGGGTTGCTCAAGAATTGTGTGGGGGGTACGCCCTGGACG